ACTCGTTGAAGACAGAGTCCCTCGGCTCTCTCCAGCACTCAGCTGGCCTGAACAGGGGCTGGTGATGTGTGTGACTCACGGGCACCCAGAGTTGAGGTCATTCTACAACCCCGGATGCTCCACCCACGCAGGAAACCCACAGCACTCCTGAGGGACATGTCGTGGGGAAACGGCACCTGGAATCCTGGAGGCAGAGCAATAAACTGAGAATGACGCAGATGTGAAGGTGAACGCAGGGGCTGGGGAGAGAGTACAGTGGGTAGGGCACTCGCCTGGCATGCGGCTGACCCAGTTTCCATCCCTGACACCCCACACAGTCGCCCAAGTCCCGTCAGGGATGATCACTGAGCACAGAGGCAGGATTCAGCCCTGAGCCCCGCTTGTTGTGGCCTAACTCCACCCCCACCCTCACTAAAAAGATGAACATGGGAAGTGACGTCTGCACTTGTTTGTTCATTGCAGCACTCTTTACAATAGCCAGAATCTGGAAAAAACCTGAGTGCCCGAGAACAGATGACTAGCTAAAGAAACTTTGGACATCTACACAATGGAGTACTATGTAGCTGTTAGAAAGGATGGAGTCATGAAATTTACATACAAGTGGTACTACATGGAAAGTATCATGCTAAGAGAAATGAGTCAGAAAGAGAGGGACAGACATAGAAAGATTGCATTCATATGGGGAACATAAAGTAACAAAATAGGAGACTAACACCCAAGAAAAGCCGAGATAAGTACCAGGAGGTTTACTCCATGGCTTGGAGGCCAGCCGCACACACTAGCCGAAAAGGCCGCTCAGATTGAGAAGGGAGCACCAAATAAAGGGTGTTGGGAGGATTCTCCCAGGATGGGAGATGCATGCTGAGAGTAGACTATAGACCGAACATGACTGCCACCCAATGCCTCTTTTGCAAACCATAGCACCCAAAAGGAGAGAGAGAACAAAAGGGAATGCCCTGCCACAGAGGTGGGGGTGGGGTGGGGGGAGAGATACTGGGATCAGTGGTGGTGGAAAATGGGCACTGGTGGAGGGATGGGTACTCGATCATTGTATAGCTGAAACCCAAGCTCAAAAAATTGTAAGTCTACAACTGTACCTCATGGTGTTTCACTAATAAAAATTAAAAAAGAAAAAAATAAAATTAATTCACAAAAAACATATGAACATGGGGAAATCCTATCGCAATGACATGGGGTCGTGAGAGTGGGTGGAAACGCTCACACATGTAGAAAGGAGCAGAGGGCAGACTCACCAGGTCTGTGTCTCCCCCAAGGGGAGGGCGGCTCTCTGCTGTGAGGTGGGGAGTAGAACGGGACCTCTAGGAGGTCCACAGGGAGGCTGAGCCTCCCCTCCAGACATGGGCCCACAGTCTGCTCCTCGCTCTGGGGCTGTTCCTCAAGACGCCCGTTTGCTGCTGGAATAGGGGATTTGCTTCTGCAAGGTCAGTGTGGACTCCACAGCCCCTGGCACCTATGGTGATGTCCAAGGGAAACTGATGGGTTGGCCGCTTTGGCGTCTGGGGCCTTGACCGACGGCTTCTGCACCATCTCCTCCCCCTCTCAGCCTCCGAAGGCCGGGCCCAGGCCTCCTCCTGCCTGCTCCTGGCAGCACCCTGCTAAGTCTCATACCCAAGAAGGGCCCCATGGAAATCTGAGAATCAAGGATGTTCCTGGGGGGCTGGGGAAGAAAGGGGTGGCAGCAGTTCCATGGAGGGCACTGAAGATTTTACGAACCCAGCAAAGGCCCTGGAAGGGGTCAATTAAATGCTGGTCTGGAGAGCGCAGGAAGCAGCCACAGCTCAGCGACCTCAACGAGCTTTCTCCTGTGCCGGCAAACGGCCCCCCAGAGCCTGTCAGCGCTTGAGGCCTGGTCCCAGCTGCTCCATCCGGCTCCTTCCACACCCCTCCCCCCACAGACGCCTGCACGGGTGGACCGGTGACCCTTGTCCTTTCCTCAGTGGACTCAGCATACGCTCAGCAGCGGGCGCTGGCTGCAGAGCAGAGAGGGAAGCGCATCTCGGCTCCAGACCCTCGCCCCCATCCACCTCCCACTGGAGCCTCAGGGAGCTCAGGGACACAGAGCAGATGGCGGCAGCAGGAATGCGACCCCGCACGGGGCTTCCACACACAGCCCTGCCCTTGGAAGACACATTCCCCACGGGTCATTAGGACAACCACGGGGCAGCCCAGGGACAGGGAGACAGCAGTGTGTGTGAAGAAGCAGAGCCCGGTTTAAGCCCCACCTCCAAGCACCACTGAGGACGGTGCAACCCTTTGCTCTCTCCCAGAGAAGCTATTTCCCGGCACCTTCCTCTGCAGCTCCCACGATACCTCCACATCTCTCAGACAGTGTCAAAGCAGAGTCTGGCTCCAGACACCCAGCACTGGGCTGGAGAGATAGCACAGCGGGTAGGGCATTTGCCTTGCACGCGACTGACCCAAGTTTGATTCCCAGCATCCCATATGGTCCCCTGAGCACCGCCAGGGGTAACTGCTAAGTGCAGAACCAGGAGTAACCCCTGTGCATTGCCAAGGGTTACCCAAAAAGCAAAAAAAAAAAAAAAACAGACACCCAGCACTGAGGGACCCCTGGGTTCCTTCTGATGTCACTGTTTCACAGGTAGCAAGTCAGTCTCTCTCTCTCTCTCTCTCTCTCTCTCTCTCTCTCTCTCTCTCTCTCTCTCTCGTAGACACTGACAGGTCCAACTTTGATTTAAAAAAAAATAAAGCACAACGGGACTGGAGCCATAGCATAGCAGGTAGGGCGTTCCGACCTGGATTCGATCCCCAGCATCCCACATGGTCCCCTGAGCACCACCAGGAGTAATTTCTGCGTGCAGAGCCAGGAGTAAATCCTGTGCATCATTGGGTGTGACCCAAAAACCAAAAAAAAAAGAAAATCCCCAAAAAACACAAGAAGGATAGCTCAGGACTGCCTCCTCTGGGGTTATGGGGAGGGGGGAACAGAGTGTCCCGTTTGCTGCAAAACGATGCAGGTGGGAGGGCTCTGTCACAAAGCAGGGCTGCACACCTCCAGACAGACAACAGTGGACACTGTGAGTCCCCCTCTGCCCCCCCCCCCCCACACACACACCTCCTCAGCTCCCAGCAGGTGATGATGGACAGCAGACTTCGGTTAAATACAGATTTACGGGCTAGAGAGCGAGCACAGTGGATCAGGCGCTATACTAGCCCTCTGGCTTTGCCTGTTCTTCGTCTCCCCTTGGTCTTGAGGCCCACGCCCTAGCAGAGCTCAGGAGCAGGTACCATTCCAGGGCTCAAATTCAGGAGCACTCTGAGTCAGACCCCACATGCAGGTTCTTGAGTCACCATGTGCCCGTGGCCTGCAGCGCTCCCAAGACTGGGCACAGGACCCAGAATGCTCACCCCACACACACCCCCACCACCAGCTTGCCTTTTCATTTCTTAAACTGTAAGAGAAAAAAATGCTCCGGAGAGAGAGAGCATGGAACAAGGGTCCGGGGGACCAATACACTCACCTTGTATGTGATGGCACCGGTTTGATCACCAGCACAGCTCAAGATTCCCTGAGATGGTGGGAAATGGGCACTGGTAGAGGGATGGGTATTTGATCATTGTATAATTGAAACCCAAGCACAAAAATGTGTAAGTCTACAACTGTACCTCATGATGTCTCACTAATAAAAATTAAAAAAAAAATTCCCTGAGCACTGTGAGGAGTGACCCCTGAGCACAGAAACAGGAGTAGCCCCCTCAGCACCACCAAAAAATGAGTACAGCAAGAGCCTGAAGAATTCCCTGGGCTAGGAAGGGATGCGCTGGGATGTGGCATAGGCGACCCCCTGCCCCGGGGTGCTGCCACGCTGGCTTTTGCAAACCTCAGTGCCTTTCGGTTTACCACCTGCATGTGCGCCCCTTCCACAACAACTCAGCTCTGCCCATTGGAACACGCCTCTATGGGTGGCCTCTCCTGGGCTCTGCATCCGGGCAGGAGGAACAAATCGAATTTCTCTACGCTGCCGAAATTCCCCAGGTTTCCACTATTAACCTAGGACAAGCAATGCTGCAGGGATCATTCTCGGTGCTCTCCCGGGGCCTGGGAGTGGGAGTTTCTCTGGGAAGCGCAGTCTGGGCACACCGCCGCCCACAGACAGGGCACCTTCATCACCAGGGAGCGCCGTCTGGGTGCAAAGCTGCATAGCATCCCTCCTGCTAAGGACTGTCCCAATCAGCACACGCAGGCGAAGGGTCACTAATGACTCGGAAGAGTCCAGGTCATCACCAGATTGGAAAAACCAAGTTGGAGCCTGAAGTCAAAAGAAGGGCCCTTGGCTTGAAGTACAAGGTTGTGGGTTCAACCCCAGTACCACCTGCAAGTGCTGGGGAGACCCTGACACTCACATATTAGGGTTCCCCAGGGACAAACAGCTGGAAGACAGACACGGGGAGCATCCAGGGCCCAGGGCAAGCGTCGCCAGGATCCTAAACCCTTGGTGCCTCTGAGGAAATCCTGATCAGCCATGGTTTGGAGGCCCCGTGAGAAAATTTTTTAAATTTTCAAATGTATCTATTTATTTATAATTTCCAGGCCACACCTGGCTGTGTCAGGGCTTATTCCTGGCTCCGCGTTCCCGGGTCCACATAGGGTGCTGGGGATCGAACCTGGGTCTGCCATGTGCAAGTGTGTATACAGTACACACTCTAGCACCTGTTTGGGTTTTTTTTTTTTTCAATTTTTTCTTTTCAAAGCAACAACCTGATAACCTCCTCTGTAAGGCATTGATGCATCATTTCTAAATTCTGAGCTTAATGCTAACAATCAGAACACCACAGTTTCCACACACACACAAAAAAAACACATGCCAGCCTCCCTCAGAACAGGTGGTATCTTGGCACCTCTCCACGCCATGCGTGGCCCTCCCCCACTCAGCGCAGAGAGCTGGCGCCCCCGTCAACCCTAGGCTGTGGGAGACAGAGACGCAACCCTTCCACGTCCCCGGCCCCAGACCACCACGCACCTGTACACAGGCTGCATCTCCCTTGCTATGCCAATGACAGCACCTGGCAGGAAGTTGTCAAACTCCTCAAACAGTTCCCGGATGTTGGTCTTGTACTGGAGGTCAAGGTCCAGCTGAATGATCCGCAGGATTTCTGGAAGAGAGAGAGGAAAAAAAGAACAATAATGTGGGGCTTATTGAGAAATAGTCCAGCGGGAAGGGCGTTTGCCTTGCACACGATCGACACGGGTTCCATCCCCAGTATCCCATAGGGTCCCCTAAGCACCGCCAGGACTGATTCCTGAGTGCAGAGCCAGGAGGAACCCCTGAGCATCACCAGGTATGGTCCCCCCCCCCCCAAACAAAGCAAAACAAAACAAACAAAACAAACAAAAGGCAATCATGTGAGGGAGATCAACAAGGTGGGAGGCTCAGTGGTTCCTTGTGGTCCTAAAGTCTTGAGTGATGCTTGTGAACTGTAAACAAAGACTTTCTCCCACCAGTCATTACCCACACACACACACACCTTTCCCCCCTAATATCACCTCATAAAAAAAACAGGTCCCTCCCTCTGGTCTGCTACTGGGGTCCCGGGACAGATGCCCAACTAAAGACTGAGAGCATGCAGGGCTTCTGCCGGCCCTGACAGGTTCATGGCCCACTGAAGAAGCTTTTGCACGGTTGTGGTCTCAGCTCCTGGTCAGGCCCTGATGGGCTGGGATGTGGCACCCAGAAAAAGTGCTGGCAGGTTCCGGAGACGCAGATTTCGCTACCTGCCCCCTAAGGAGCAAACGAGTGAGAGATCTTCGAAGAAGAAAAGGCAACCTGCTCAGCTCTGAGATGTGGAAACTGAGGAGTGAAGGAGAGAAAGGAATTGCCATAAGGCAGCAAGGCTGACACCAGACCCGGGGGAAGAGGCTCAGGGTTCAGCTGATGCTTCCAGGCCGCCACCCACTCCCAAACCAGGGCAGAAACTCGGGGGAGAGAACACGGTGCCAGCAGCTGACAGTGGACCTGTGGTATGTGTCGTGAGAATGGGGACCTGAGCATCAGTGAGCAGCCACTGGACAGATACAGGAGACCTCCATGGGCCAATGGGAACAAGGAAACGTTTCCACATTGTCTCGCTCAAATCAGACCAGTATTAAAAGTGTGTGGACCGGAGCGGTGGTACAGTGGGGAGGGCGCTTGCCTTGCATGCAGCCAACCCGGATTCCATCCCCAACACCCCAAATGGTCCCCTGAGCACCGCCGGGAGTGATTCCTGGGAAGAAGCCCTGAGCACCACCAGGTATGGCCAAAAACAAGCAAAAAAAAAGCGTGTTTCCATCCTCTAAACATATACCCCCAGCTGCCTCCGCTTCCTACAGCCAGGCCTGGGGACTGAGCTCAGGGTCTGATGAGAAATGGCAGCAACCAGAGCCGGGAGCCTGGTGCACCCCCACTGCCCAGTGAAACACAGCGGCGGCTACGGGACAGGCCTCCCCCCACCCTCACCCCAACACCCAGGTGTAACCCATCCTCTCAGGGGGGCGTTGATGGACAGAAAGAGGAGCTGGAGTTCCTCCTCTCAGGAGGAAGAAGCGTGCCTGTGTTAGGAAAAGTTCCCTGTGGGCGGTAGTTTGTGGGGACACACCTGTGCCGAGCTGGCATCCTCCTGGGATGAGTTGAACCCTAAGCGGTGCTGGCGACCCACCCTCCCGAGGGCGTCCAGGGCACTGCCAGCCTCCCTGCCTCACAGGCTGACCATTGAGGCTCTGGCCATGGTCACCAGAGGCCTTGGGACCATCCTTTGGCAAGAGATCAGAAAGGGGGCTGCTGGGGACAATTTCAAAAGGCGGAAACACCACTTCCTCTCGGGAACAGAAGGCAGCTGCCCCCCGAAACAGGACTGACCAATGCTTGACCTCAAGCCAGGCGGCGCTGCAGCAGGTCGACAGGACAGAGTCTGGTTTGGTTTGAGGCGTATTTGAACTTGGGCCCCAGCAGGAGAGGAAGAACCGGGCTTCCATCCTCACGTCCCAGGCCCTGCTCTGGTTTCAGGCTAATGAGGTGGTACCGCGGACGCTAGCGAGCTGGGAAGGCCACATTCCAAAGGGCAAACTTCCCAAGGCTTCCAGGCCTCGTGGCCACACCCCACCCTGGTCCTGGACAGCGTGAGGAGGTCGAACAGGGATTATTCTGGGGTTCAGGACACCGCTTCCCCGCCCACTTGGGTGTCTGAGGCCCAGAGCACCGAGCCTGGCTGAGTTCTCTGCACAAAAGCAGCCCAGAAAGCCACACGCATGGTCTCCAAATCCCAAACCCACGTTCCCCAGCGGCAACAGTCACTCCTCGTCAGCCTCCAATTAAAGCAGCCACAAGCGTGTCATCTGAGCCCGGATGGAATTACAGCCCGGAGTGAGTAATGCAGGAGACCCACAGACCGGCCCAGCGGCGCCAACCTCCCTTCCTCTCGCCCTCTCCTCCCATCTCCAGAAACAGTTCACTCTGTTTCCGTTATTGCCTTTATCGTTGGTTTGACTCAGGGCTAGAGCATCTCCAAGCTTGGCCTCCCACCTGGACCTGTATATGAAACGGTCACCATTCACCACCGCCAACATGCCAGTCACCAGCCACACACCAGGGAAGAGCTCCTGGGCATAGCTTCCTCATACACAGAACACACACAACTGACCCAACTAGGAAACCATGGGAAGACGAGCTGGGCAGGGGAGACCCACCCAGGTGCCCCCAGGGACCACACACAGGTGTCTCGGCATGGCACGCTCTCGGTTTCTATTCTATAAAGGCCTTGGCACTTCTAAGAAATACATAGTTATAACACATCCCAGGGTTCCCGCCTCAGAGCACAAGCCCCCAAGTCCCCGCGCAGGGGTGAAGGTGCGGCCACGCGAGGCCGAGGGCCAGAGCAGCAGCAGGGAGGAGCAGGCTGGGCCCTGGGCATGAAGGCAGAGAGCCACCTGCTCTTACCCTGGGGCGCTTTTTTCCTTTTTTATATATGTATTTTTTCATTTCGTATTGAATCACCATGAGATACAGTAACAAGCTTTCATGTTTGAGTTACAGTCACACAATGATCAAACACCCATCCCTCCCCCAGTGCACATTCCCCACCACCAATCTCCCCAGTTTCCCTCCTTTCCCACCCTCCCCCTGCCTCTATGACAGACAATTTCCCCCATACTCTCCTGACTTTGGGGCATTGTGGTTTGCAATACAGATACTGAGAGGCCATCACATTTGGTCCTTTATCTACTTTGAGCACACATCCCCCATCCCGAATGACCCCTCCAACCACCATTGATTTAGTGATCCCTTCTCTTTTCCAGCTGCCTTCCCCCCAGCTCATAAGGCAGGCTGCCAACCATGGAGCAATCTTCCTGCTCCTGTGTCTACTGTCCTTGGGTATCAGTCTCAGCACCCCTGGCCTGCAGGAGCCAAAGGGCAAGGGGCAGAGGAGAGATGTCCCTAGAGAGGGACACTAATGTCCACCCCAGCATCTCCTGCTGGAGGCCCTCGGGCTCACCATCCTGACCACAGACCTAGGTCCCAGGCTGGAACTGGCCAGAGGTTCGCACACCGATGGGGATTTGGGGACTTCCAACGGGACTCTCTCATGTTCCTCAAACCTCCCCAGCCCCTGAGCATGGAAGGTCCAGCTTCAGGAGGGCTGGCGAGCTCTGGAAATAGCTGAGAGGAAAAGCATTGTGGAAGACCGCCAAGGGGCCCGGCCTTGGGTAGAGACTCCTGGAGTCCCTCCCGCCTGTTCAGTCAAACCTTCCTTGCTCATTCAGGCCTGGGTTGGGGGCTGCACTTTCCACATAGACCATGAACCTCCAGCCTGCTTCACCGCCCCCCCCCCCCCCCCCCCGTCTCCTCCGTGTCAGAGGCAGTGCCTGGGACTCGGAGGATCCATGGAGTCTGGAACCGTGTCCAAGACAATCTAAGGAGGAAGCACCGCATCCTCGAGCGGTCACAGTTTTGATCCTGCACCGTCAGCGTCTGGGCCCTGTGGGGTTTTTGAAGGCCCTTTCACAACCCCGAGATTCTCAGCAACACAGAGACAGTCCAGCGGGTACAGGCTGCAGTCTTGCACGCAGCTCACTGAGTTTGATTTCCAGTTCTGCATAGCACTGTAGCATTGTCCTCCCGTTGTTCATCAATTTGCTTGAGCAGGAACCAGTAATGTCTCCATCGTAAGACTTGTTACCGTTTTTGCCATATCGAATATGCCACAAGGAGCTTGCCAGGCTCTGCCGTGTGGGTGGGATACTCTTGGTAGCTTGCCAGGCTCTCTGAGAAGGACAGAGGAATAGAACCCGGGTTGGCTGTGTGCAAGGTAAATGCCCTATCTGCTGTGCTATCACTCCACCCACAGTTCTGTATATGGTCCCGAAAACACTGGCAAAAGTGATCCCAGAGCACTGAGCTGGATGCAGCCTCTGAGCATCACTAGGTACAACCCCCAAACCCTCCATAAAAGAAAAGGAATGGTACCTCAGCCCAGGTGAAAGCACCATCTAAAGGTTCAGATCATCCTGGATGGTTGTTGGAACTTCTATGGATGGAGAGAGTTCCCACCACCAGGCCCCAATGCCCATAACATCCCCTACCTACTCCCAAAGAACAAGAGACACTGTGGAAGGAAGATGCAGTCAGGGAGCAGAGAGCCAAGGAAGAAGCCATGAGAGCTGAAAGGACATCTTATTGACTTACTGACTTTTAGTGTAGGGTCATACCTTCCCCACTCAACGCTCGGGGTCACTCCCGGTGGTGCCAGTGATGGACCTTGGCTCTCTCACATACAGAGCATGCGCTTAGCCCACTGAGCTCTCTGGCCCTGCACTGTTTTGAATGGCCACGGCCAATGATATTCGATATGGCAAAAACAGTAACAACAAGTCTCACAATGGAGACATTACTGGTTCCCGCTCAAGCAAATCCATGAACAACGGGAGGACAGTGCTACAGTGCTATGCCGATCTGGAGGTCAAACTCAGTGAGCTGCGTGCAAGACTGCAGCCTGTGCCCGCTCACAGAAGCCTCCAAAGGCTCCAGATTTTGTACCATGATTTCTCTGTGACAAATGAGGAGATCCACATGTCTGCCCTGGCAATCACTCTCAGTACACGGCAGACCTGGGCCAGAATT